GGAGGGGGGGGGGTTGAATTGAATGATCAATTATTAGACCCGGACGCGCCAACACTTGCTTCGCAAGACAAACTCAAGGTATCCCCTAAAGGGCTACCTTTCGTGATAAATCAAACATGCTGGTCCAAGTAAGCCACCGTCTCCGTCTCCGCATTCGCGTCCCACTATGTCCCAGCCGAAACGGCTCAGACTGCCCAACCTTGACTTCGACGAAAAGAGGTTCACTGAAGATCATGTGAACGTCTCTGGCTACCTCCGGATTCCAAGCTAGTCACGGGTCACGGGTCACCGAATCGCACCAAATTCTTGCCGTACCCTGACAATGGGAACTCAGAGGCTGAACTCATTTGCTGGAACACAGCTCAGCAGCTCTCTGTTTGCAGCAACAAAAGGGAAAAGGAGTGGATGATAATGGAATGGATGTCACTACGGATGTCATATCCAACACTCTGCCAACTTCGATGCATGCTTTAAGACAGAAAGGAAGACCCTCCCGAATGATTCTTGACCCATTGAACAACGGATGATTGAACCCCAAAAAACTCTCCAAAGGGCCTGGGGCCCCCAGTTCGCTGACCGCTGACCCTGCGCGGCTCTGGAGCCGCACATCCTCTCGCCTTTGCGGGGCTGATCGACGATGACTTCCGCACCCATGGTGTCTGCCACGTACTCGATGGGAGCTTGCTGCTCCTAAGCTGCGCCATGGTTTCGGGTCCGCCCTCAGGTCGGTGAGCTGATCCAGCTAGAAGTTGGCCCCTTACATCCTCTTACGAACCGGCTGTATTGATTCTTACCATTTCGAAGGAATGGTGCGGCCGATACTTTGGCTGCGTCCACAAATCAAGCGAGCTGACAGGCTTAAATGGGCTTTGCATATGCTGTCTACTGCATGCTAAGCTCGCATAAGCTCGCTAGTCAAGTCAAAGCTGAGTTCGGACCAGCGTCAGTGACACAGCAGTGAAACTGAGTCTCGTCCTCACGCAGATGCAAAAGGAATGTCAATGGACTCAATGGAGGGGAGAGCGTCCTCCCTTTGAACAAAGAGGAAAAACCGACTGGGCTCGAAAAGAAATGTTTTCGAAACACACGCACTGCGCCGTTTCGTTGGCCAAAGCTGACCGTTGACCCACACGCCATGTATCACATGTTTTGCCGTAAGGTGGGAGGCACGATGGTGCAATTTCGTGTGTGCATAGTCCATATATCTGTGGAATTTTCGCGTCTTGATGCTGCCGGGCTCTGCAGCTTTGTGATTTCTGCGGTGCAAGGGGTGCTTGCACCAACCATTATGCCAAGCTCCCCGCTCGAATTTGGTCACACAAGCAGTTGCTTCTTTCCATTCTGCTATATAACTTGTTATCTTGGGGTCTGTGCAATCTAGTGCGGTCAGCCTCCACTTGCCGAAGCCGGCCCCGCCTTGAGCTGTGTCCATGGGCTTATTCCTTGGCGCACTGTGACGCAACATCGGGAGGCTCTTCAGATGAATTACGCCGGCGTAGACCCCACATAGCAAAACAAAACCGCTGCCCAGAGCAGCACCCTGCAGCGCCAGCATCCAAGCTCCAAAGCGCACGCGTCCATTTCTACATCTAGCACAAGCAAACAGGCTCCAATGTGCACACGGCCATAAATATCTGGCAGCGGCACCCTGCAGCGGCACCCGCGCCCAGGCTCCACAGCAAATACAGGCACCTTGTCCTAAACTTTAAGAACCCCAGCAGCTCTCGCTATCTGGGGATATCTGGGGGAAAGAGCCATGATCCAAATGCTCGGAATCAATATGAATCCAGGAATCCATGGAGAATCGACTCATGTGACTCATGTGTCCAGTGAAAATGAGCGAAACGACACCCACGTCCCGCTCTCGCAGGTCCGCTCGCTGCTCCGCCACGTCGCGGTCGTCTTTCAGAGCTGCCACACTTTCAATCGGCATAGAGACATACTCGTCGTTCAGGTTGTCTGCACTAACTTGTGCACAAAGCTGGCCGCGGCGCTGGGAACTGGGGGAAGCTAGGGTAGCCACCTGACCTCGCCATACATCATGCTTCATCATGACATACACTCACACCTGTGGATGGCACATTTCTTCTCCACCCCGAATGACTCAAGAATGTGACCATTCATGAGTTGGGACCCAAAGTAAATACGATGCCAAAACCGGTCCGACTAGATTCGACCCAACATTTTGAGAGCCCAACTACTCATATATCTCAAACAAAGGCTCTACGCACGCACAGAACCATTGTCCCCACAGCGACGTAGCACTTTCTACAGCAAGAAGCTGCTGCACGTACGATCACAATACACAGCAATACACTAACTAAACGCCCTGGTAATTTCCAGCGAGTGGAGCAAACGAATGCAAATTATGATTTTTTTTGCCCCTCCTTCGATGTCATGTGCCGTTGAATGAATGTCATTCATTCCATGTAATTCATTGAATGTCATGAATGTCTGTCATTCAATGTCATTCCACGCCTGTTGGTTCTGTGGAGAAGCTTCAGATTCGTGGAGAAAACTTCTGACAGCCTCATATACCCAGTCCTTTGCATCGTGGTCCGCTGGCTTTGGAATCGGTCGTTCGCTGTTGCTGCATTAGGGCCTATGCCCAAGAGGGAAAAGAACCTCCCCCATTGAAATCCAAATCCATCTGGAACATCTTCCATCTTCCCCTGAATACCACTTGAAATCCACTTGAAATCCATTGATTTCACCTAATTTCACCATCTTCCCCTGCCCCTCTCGCACCTCGAACTTCGAGGACGGCTCTACGAGCTCCGCGCAGGGTGCGAGCACGGCTCCCATGGCGCTCCGTTCTTCCTGGTCGCTCGAGCCCTTGGCCAACAGACGCGCGGAGAGGGGTGGCCGGCCAAAACCGGTGAAAACAACTCTACCCAAACTAAGATGGATCTCCAACGGGTGGAAGAAAGATGTTCCTGCTCTTCCATAGATCCTCCCCGGGCGTGCCTACCACTTGGCTGCCTTTCTCCTTCCTCACTGCTGCTGGTTCTCCCGTCAGCAGTGACTCGTCGCCTAAATGCTCGTGAGCGCATGTGACGATCAAAATGCGTGTCTGGCCATCTTGCGTTGTGCTGGCACGGCACCAGAAGCGAAAGAAAGAAACATCCCAAGAAACAACAACGACATCAAACTCATGCCAATTATATACTGTACTTGAAACACGCTGAATCCTCGTTCCGCATTGAGGCATCCGCAGTAGGCAGTGCCGTCTGTGATGACTTCCTGAGACCCCGTCTGTAGACGCTGGGAACCGACGTTCACCTGGTTCACCGTTCTCAACCACCTCACACGGCCTCTTGGCATCCCAAGAGAAGCCTGAACACGCCCAAGTAAAATGCGCACAATACAATCTATATAACTAAATCCAACACATGGTACAATAGTTCCTACAATTATAACTGAAGGTGTTTCCAAGGGGCGCCATCGACTGGCACTTGCTCTCCAGGAAGCACTCGTAAAAAGTCTCCGATCTGGATCAGGTCGTAGTCTCAGTTCTTTCTCTAAAGCCCAGGAGGTCACCGACCTAATGAATAAGACTACGTACGCTCCTAGGCACTGGACGCAGCCCCTAGGCACTCGCGATCATTCCCTTCGATTTGAGGGAACGTTCCGAAAGCTTCCGATCACGGCAGCGTGACGAATATGAACAAAAAGATGCACCGGTTGTGCAGAAGCATTCGTCACTGAACATTTGCTACTTGCCAAGGGACGTATGCTTCTCTCTGGGCCATCAGGGTCTTCTAGGAGGCGTGCAAAGTGGGGCCTCACAGTGATCAAAGGGACTCACAGTGATCATCGGACGTACGCGGCTCGATCTAGAGACTTTGCGGACTGGTGGAGGGAACCTCTTCGTTTGAGAACACCAGAATTGCAAAACAATTTATGTGTTTTTTTCTTTTCACTGTTCCTTTGAGCACATCACTTCAACACCTGCAACGCTCCTCGCTGACGCAAGTCACACACACGGTCACTCTTGCTCAGTGGCAACTTTTTAGCAGGATTCTGATATCTTTTGATTATAACTGTATATAATATGTTATATACATAACATATATGATCATGTATATGTATACGAAAATATGTTTAGACAAAAATACCTCGGAATCTTGAGAGTTAAGCCCAGCTTCTTGAAGCTTTGATTGAACCCGTCACACTCGGCAGATGTTCTTCAGTGTGGCGAGCGCTCCCGCCCGCGCACCAGCCACTGACTCAACCCACTACCTTACCCACCGGCCTTTTCGCAGAGATCTCATGTACAGCTCGGGTGGTTTGTGTCTTGGCGAAGGTCTCCAGAAAACGGCCACCGAGGAGGACCTGGTCGAAGCACCCCGCCATCCATGTTGCAAAAGCACACATCCAAATGCGTGAAGCGAGCGTTGAGCCAAATCCCTAAGTTGTCCAGCCTAAATACACGCACACATCCAAATGCGTGAAGCGAGCGTTGAGCCAAATCCCTAAGTTGTCCAGCCAAAATACACGCACAAATGTGTATACAGTATAATTTAGAATATACATTGTTACATTATATATATACACGGTATTTACTAAATATATATATATACCTGACTGTATATACAGTATAGACATTGGGTATATATCCCATTACCAGTAACAGTGGATGATGATGATGATGATGATGATGATGTTGATGATGATGATGAGCAAGGGCCTTTCTCAAAAGTGATGATCCTTTACCGATTGTTACTGGTAATGTATACACACGTTCCAAATGAAAGCTCATAAAATATCATAATAAGGCTTCATCTTTCAGAGGAACGGGATCTACTGGGGCCCTGTCTTCGATCTCCACATTTGGGTCATGTGCAGGCTCAGCTCATGGGTCATGTGCATTGGAGAGTGCATGTAACATTATGTAACTCCTACACACTTACCATGTCTTACAGAACAGTGAATTGCATGTGGATCTCGAACATGTATGCTGTGAGCTCTGACAAAGAGATCAAGTCACAGTTCAAGCTCTCAAACATCAAATAGCTCGGGCATCCGCGGCGTTCTTTTTCTTCCACCCCTCGGTCGTCACCACCCGTCGTCACCCCCCCGAAAATCCGCCCAAGTCGCTGTGATCAGGACCGCGCTGGTCTCACCTGAAGAGGTGTGTCCGCATGACGTTCAATGGAACCGGAGAACCACTGAGAACCACTCAATTGTAGAGGAAAACAGTCTTCCAAAGGTCCATGCCGTCCATGCCATCAGGTTCCGTTTTGGTCCTTTTGGGTGTACGCTAAGCAGGCCAAGTGCATTCGTCTTCCACCGACAAGATCTGTTCAACATGGAAATGGCCTGTTGGACATGACCCCCGAAAAAGGATGACCAAACAGGTGGTGCCATCCAATGTCCATGTTCATCCATCCTGTTTCCGCTGCCAGCAAGAACCTCCATGCACCAAGCTCACACAATACCACATGTGACTACTTGACTTACTTGACCACATTGAAGACTCCCGTGCACATATCCCTAACCACACCGACTACTTGAAGAACTTTGAAGTATTTCACGTCGACGACATCGGAGCGCCCACTCCCTTAGCGTTCTGGGGAACCACCCTCTCGTCGTCTTTTCGGCCCAGCCGGCAGGTGCCAAATAAAGCTCAGGCTGCGGCAAAACATCGCAGACAAGCGCAAACTGAAGCGATGGACATCCATTACACAATCGTACAGGCCACCCAAAGTGCCATAGAGGAAGGACACCTAGGATGCCAAAGGCACCCCTACATGCATACAACTCCGGCCAAAAAATATTCAACAGAAAGCAACCACCAGCAAATAACAAACCAAAGAAAGAATCAGACCGCTCTGAAGTTGAGGCTACTGACATCCTCTCAAAAACCGAACGCGCCAAGGATCTCCCACCCAATAACCTGGCAAAGGCACTGTGGTTGACAAGGACACCAAGGTATTCATGGTCGATGCCTGGACCATCCGAATCAATGGGAAATTCTGGGCGGTGGCGGATAAATCAAAAGGTCAAAAGGTGGGACGTGCAGACTTGGTCAAAAGATCAATAAAGGACCAGTTACGGTCCAACATCGGCCCGAAGACACTGTAAGTGCTCGCGTTAACGCTCCAGTTACGCCAAAACACTCCCATCACAACAATATAACGACAGTATTACACATATATTTATATATATATATATATCAATCCCGCAAGCTGCGATTTGCAACATGAGAAAAAAAAAGGACCCGCCTGCATGGCTTTTGAGATGTCTGTGAAACATGGCTTCATTGGCTTGGCCTTCATGCTGGATGGCATGGGTTCAAATGGTGAAACTGGTGCAAAACGAGCCAGGCCATTACCCAAGGCTCGTTGCAAAATGGGCAAATCCGATATTGGATCCCCAGCGATTCAACGATCAACTACACCGGAGTCACAGAAGGTTTCACCTTTCCCTTCTCTTGCTCATGCTCCATGTCTACCTCAGCCATGCCCCCCAATCACCCACAAGACTGCTTCGGCAAAGAAGAGGAAAGAACATTGAAAATGATTTTCGGATTCCAACCTGCTGCATGGGCACAACCCAAACAACATGGACCACTGGATTCTTGATAGCCTGGCATCTCAAAGAGTGACCCGCAGTCACGGCAAGGGGAAAAAAACGTTGAAGTCTTGAAATTCTGGGCCCATCGATGATTGACATCCCTTGATCTCATCTGATCGTCAAATCTCCGATTCAAATCTCTCGCTGAGAAAACTCTCGCTAAGTTGCCATCTCCTCTCCAACAGCCGCTTCCAGGACTTTCATCGCATTCTGCACTGATGCATCTGCCAGCTCTTGCCCAACTGCCACCTCCAAAGCATGAGGCTTCACCACGCCGTCCTGCCAGGACGGGCGACGTGGCGACGGGGTCTGAGTCGTATCGCACACGTCGACGTGGTCTGTGCCGGGAAACATGTGAGAAACATGATACAGAGCAGCTTGGCAGCTTGTAGAGGCCCTGAAAGGGGCGGGGCGGCAACCTCATATGTAAACATATATATAACTATATGAAATAGCGCGCACACACACACACATTCACAGTCGCTACATGTCGCTACCTAATAAACTATACTTAAACTATTGAGGGGGGACTTAAAACGTGTAAGTTGCATTTTCCCTAGGGGGGGTGGTTTGACACGTCGGAATTGTAAGCTTACATCTTTTGAAAATTGGCGTACAAAATGCAAGCTTACAATTTTGAACATCGACGTAGAAAATGTAAACTTTACAGTTATCATATACTGTATACTATCGTTGTGTCACGTTTCTTCCAGTGTTTCTTCTATAGTACGTGAGCACCAAATATACACATTTCTTTCCAGGAAGCACTGAACATGTAAGTTACCATGTGCCAACAGGGTACTTCTTTACCACTCCCTCCCCTGAACTCTGGGCACTCACCGGTGAATCCTTGGGGAAGCCGTGCAAAAGTAGAGGGGGTCCAACTTACATTCTTTAAGGTCCCGCAAAAACAAGGTAAGGGGGTTTAGCAGAAATGAATTAAGTGCAATAGTTATAAGGGAGCGGGACTTTAGTCTTAAGCCGCCCGGGTAGAGAAGACTAGATCAGGGACAACAGGCACCGACGCACAAGTGTGCCGAGTACCATTTCGGCGAGAACTGTATGGTTGAACAATGTTTGCAATCTGACACACAAGCGGTGGGAAAAAAAACAGGGTTTGGGGGACGTATCATGAACCACCATGGAATCAAAACAGAAGGATTGGAACAGCGTACTCAACCGTTGAAGCAGGTACAGGTGGATGATCAGTCCACCCCTCCCTCGTCATACCGTAGCTTCATTGCGTACGGTGGGTATGACGAGCCGTACGCCCCTGCTTTGAAAACATGGAAAGCCCTTAGGGACAGGGTTTGACACACACACACACATCTGTCATCCTCTTGCCCACTATCAGGACTTGGCCCATGTTCTGCGCATTTCCGCCACAAGCCATGGGATGCCGCCCAAACTCTCCTCTCCACTCTCCTCTCCTTGTCGACGTCGATCTTGTCAAAGAGCGCCTCCAAGGGTCGAAGATCTTCGTGGCTCAACTTGCCGATCTGTAGAAGCATACCCACCATAAACTCATATCGTCGAAGCTCTCCTGCCGAGAAGACGGGTTCCGGGCGGAGGCCTCCGTCAACCGTGGAGGCTCGGAGGCTTCGGGATGGGGGAGGGAAGTGGATCAAAACAGAATTGCCTAGACTAGGAACAAGAAGCTAGTAGAAACAATATATAAATAGAATTCTTGGTCTACAATCTACAATTTAGAATCTAATCCCGGATCCAAGTACCTTCTCAGGAGGTGATTGGAGGCACTGTTATGTAGGTTTGGAGGGTCCAAGTACCTTCTGAGAGGGTACTTGGATCCCTAGGGAATTACACAAACCTGCCGTGGAGGATGAGCATAAGATGAACATGAGGAGGACGGGTGGATCGGGAGGAGGATGGATGAAGTTGAGGATGCGGAACAAAATGAATCAGGATGAGTATTGAGTATTGATCCACCAGGGGAAAATTGAATGGAATTGACCTAGGTTCGGCTTTGACTAAGATGACTAAGCTTGTGGCCCCAAGAGTTTGCAACAAATGAAACGTGTGAAACTTTCTGCCCGAACTCAGGTCGCTGAAGCGAACAAGTGCTGTGGTCGCAGCTCTTGAGCTCACTTGCTTGAAGGTGCAACGTGAGTAATCATGACTCCAGCGAGGTCATCAAACAACTTGCCCCGAGAAAAACTTCTCCAACACCCTCTGTTAAATACACTTTCTAAACTGGTACCTTGCGCGCGGCAGGAGCGTACGGTACTGTTCGACGTTTTGCTTCGACAACGGCCACTTACAAAATGACGTGTCTCAGGAGTTCGAGATCAACAACAACCTGCACAGGATTGATGCTGAACACTTACTCGTCCAAGGCTTCTCAGATCGTCGAAGAGATCGGCAAGCCGATCAAAAAAATAAATCGAGGTCGTGGCCGTGGAAAAGACATGACAAGGCCTATAAAGCCCAGGAGTTCTCTCCTGATTTGTCCATATCCAAAGACTTCAAGGTTTCCTTCTCATGACACTTCTTGAAATGGAAGGCGCGCGTCATCAACTCTTTCCGTTCTTCCATCAGCACTTCAATATCTCCAACGAGGGCAGCCAACAAACTGACTGAGACCAGGATGTGAAATGATGCCCAAATCAGCGCGCCCACATTGTCTTTGCTGACACTCATGTCGCCTCAGAGTTGCATATGGATGCATAAACCGGCCAAAACAAAAGCAGCTGGCAACTGTTATTGCAAATCTCCATTAATATTTTATATACGTAAGCTAAACCACGTCTTTGGATTTGAGCCAAAGAGTTTGGCGATCTTTCGGTCGGGGTATAATGTACACTTGACTTTATGTACACTTGACTTTATGGAAGTCCCACCAGCCTCTGCAGCCGTAGACTTGATTCCAGTTGCGAAGCTGCGTTTTGAGGTCTTAAAGTACAACTCACCTCAAATTTCTACAGCTAGCAGCTACACTTGTAGGACCTGACAATACCATGCTTCCCTCATCTCCAAAGCGGCTTGTTTCTCGACGACTTGCTTCCTTGTCACCATATCCCACGGTGGTGGCGGTGACCATCACGTACCACCAAGCTGTCCAGAGGTCCCAACTGGGCTCTACTGCGACGAAAATGCAAGCAGAAACCATTTGAAAAAGCAGCAAGATGACGATTGGGCCTGGCGACACTGTCAGAGCGTCGTCCTGGCGAAAGACACCCATTCGGCCCTAAACCGCCCTGAGCTTCTTTAACGTGACCTATCATAGGCCCAAGTCACCTCAAACCAGGATATGGAGTTCGGTCACTTGGAGGAACTAGGGAGAAACCCGGTGCTTCTAGTGTCTTCCAGGTCCAAATTGGTTGTGCCACACGCTGTGGTATGGTACAATGGTGTTTTCCATGTCATGCCGTAGACGGTCAACATGCTTCGCGGGGAGACCCAATCGAAAGACGCAAAGCCAAACATTGAATTTAAAGTCACTGCCTCTTGTCACAAGAAGCACGTCCTTTCCTGCGCCTTTCCTGCTCAAACAATTCTATGAGGATGCATGGTTTAAAATCGCCCGTGCCTGATTCTTGTTTCCCAAAACCGAACCCTCGATCCCGATTCTTGTTGGCACGTGCTTCCCAGGAAAAGCAACACGCGACCGACACGACTTGAGACGATATAGCTGCTTGGAGTCTTTCGCGCGAAACGCGACAGGGCCTATCATGCCCTTGGAGTAGAAAATCATAGGTCGGCGAGGGACTTTGAAATCCGGCTTGCCATTCCTTGGACGAGCCAGGAGAGGATTCTGCACATGGTTGCTAGCAAAAAGGAGACTTGGACAATTGTACAGGCAACCTTCCAATATCTCAACTGTCATCGCGCAGTTGTGTGTCACTTTGTTGGTTGCGGGCTTTCACTTCGACTGTGGCAATGCTGCAACTGGTCATCATCAAGAATAGAATCCAACAAATGACCTATCCAGTTGAAAATGCCCATACTACTTTCTGATGACAAAGGACTTCTAAAGGACAAAGGACTGGACTTGTGACTGCCAATTACTGACGACTTGGGATTAGTGCACCGGAGCTCAACTCATGTGCTTGGCGACAGGTGGATGTACAGCAAAAATGATAAACACACCAGGAACACACACGACCAATTGGACCAAGGCAAACAAACAACAACCTTATATATATATATATACAGGAAAATACAGTGAGCACCAAACAAATCAAGAACATGCGTTGTAATGCGTGGTCAAATAAGACATGTGTTTCCACCAAAACATGTTCCTTTGCAGTCACTTCGAGATCTTACCTTAGGTCACTTCAGTGAACATGTCCCACTAAGACTAAGAAAACCAGTGTTCCCCATCTTTCATGATCGATGAGATAGGATTTTCATGTAAATCTGCCTGCACAGTTGTTTCATCATGAGTTCTCTCTCTCTCTCTCTCTCCATCGCCATCTGCAAAGCTCAGCTAGGCTGAAGGCGAAACTGTGGCCCAGCCATCTTCATCGGCTAGCAGCTTCATTCGGTGGAGCCACTTTACAGGTAGAGAAGATACTTCCACTACAACTTTTGGCGTGGAAACAACAGTCAACAGTTAGGACCTGTGATTTTGCGCATATGTCATGATCTCTGTTGACTCCTTAGTGATATGACCCCGGCACACAATACAATATGCACATCGCATGCAATCCCAAAATATCAACTTATCATGGACCATCATGGACCTAATCCGCCAAACCTTGCCGCGAGCGTCCCGGTGATGTCGACGTACGTCGCAGGCACCACGCGTTCCACCAGTGCACGGGAGCCCTTGAAGAGCGGCTCGATCACGAGGCCCACGACGGAGCCAATCTGGCCGAAGACCAGCACGATCCCTCGGTCCAGACGCTGAAGGCGGACGCCGGTCCAAACGAGCTGAAAGACACGGGGGTGGAGGTGTTTTGAAAGAAAACCAGACAAAGTCCAGCCTGTTTTCAGAAAATGATTGAAAAAAAAAACAGAGAAAACACAGACATGTCCTGAGCTTCAACACAAATGGAGTAGGGTTGGAGTCTGACGCCTTCAGGAGAAATATCTAAAGATGGTTCTGTCACGGCGCTCCCACAAAATTGGGGAGCGATGACACCTTATCCATGAGCTCTTTTATCCCTGAGCTCTTTTTAACTCTTGTTGTCCATGCAGCTTCCAATTCTTCAAACCGAAGAAACGCCCTCCCGTCTGGATAGCTTTCCACCAAAAACAGAAGAAAGTCGAAAGCGCTTTCTCTCGCTCAGCCACCCACCAGGATGAAGGGAAGAGCTACCTGAGCCAGCTGCAGCCCGCTACTGGCAAAGTATGGAGTGTCCATGAGTGAGGAAACGGCTCTGCCCAGTTCAGCCCTCCCCTCAAACACCCACCCACACGGTGAAAAACACGTACCAGCCCTTTTTGTTGCAAAATGAGGGCAAACGATACCACAATGCCCCCCCAGTTTGCTGTTCCCAAATACATAGGCACACTCACCTTGCTTTTATAGATGCCCACTGTTAAGCCAAATTTGGCCAAGGAAGCTATTGACTCCAAACACTTGAGGAAAAGAATTAATAAGAATTATATAGATTTTAAATGATTTTAACTAAGTGTAATAATTGATTGACACATGACACATGATTCGGAATGTGTAGAGTGTAGTCGTAGCGCCTGCTGCCAGGGGTGCAATCAGAATGATTAAATTCATTGCCAAAGCGACCAATTGCGAGTACCACTGCGTTGGGTATAAGTCACCGAAGCCCACCGTCGACATTGTAACCTAGGTCGAAACTTTGTCTTCGCGTGTCAGCCTCGAAGTGAACTGCCCACGCACCCAGCGACGCCAGCAACCCAGGCAAACCCCACGGAGAAGGGGCCACGACGAGATGGCGTGCCGGTGACCGCCGCGCCAGGACTGCGACCCGAAAGCCAACGGCGAAGCAACGCTTGGTTCGACAGCGCACACGATTCATAGATTCAATTGCAAAAAGCTAGAGATTTCCTATATATTCCTACACCATTGACGTGTTTTAGCCACAAAGGCATCCAGGTTTTTCCAGCCATGGCAAAAACCGCCTTTCGGGGTTGTCAAAACCGATCATGAAAAAAGCAATTGGAACACAAGAGCCCTCCACTGTGCTGGTTGAGCTTGCAGGAAGTTCCCTGAAACACATGCCAGAAATGAAATGTATATAGAAGCTGTGTAGCCACCTATTTTGAGTTATGCAATATTACACAGCTTTCATTAAAAAAAGATTGGGAAAGAAATGGAAAAAAGTACGCAATGGGATGAAGTTCTTGAGCCAGCATGCAAAACAGAATCATGCTGACAAACAACACCTCGATCGGCTGCACTGCACAGCTCGTCTGACCGCCCACTCTCTAATGCCGGTTGCCTGAGCTACCCATCCAAAAAAAATATATCTATATATATATATGTACACTATATAAATACTTCAAGTGGCCATAGCAAAGTAGATCGCATGACTCCAGTCCCATCCTTCCACATTGGTGAAGAAGATCACAGAGAAGAGGTTGTAAAGGAGAAGCCTTGGACAAAGTACTGGTTTGGCAAGGCCTCTTGATGCCTTTAGATCAAAACATCCGGGCCTTGGACTCGATTTCGGATACCAAAGATTGAATTCGAGCTTCAGCGTTGCTGGACAATACCCATCTGGGCAAGGTTCAGCCTTTCTCCCGACTGACGCGCATCTCTGGCAGATTCTCAGATTCTAAAAGTGGCTCGTCTTGTACAATGTCGCTTCATTGGGCTGCAAGCTATTGCAAGCCAAGAATTTGGCAGGTACTTTTTGTCAAAAAGCGTCAGTGTCCACCTGCCGGGCCACGTCAGAATGGCCAAGATGACGGATGACTTCCGGAGGCGATGCAAATGGCCCACGACGACCCAAAGGAACTGCATGGCATCAGCGTTTTCCGAGGTCCACGCTGGGGCGAGGTCGTCACAGGGTCGCGTTGGTGGTCGCCTTTGGCTGGTGCTTTTTCAAGGACAACAGGTCGTCAGTGGGAACAACCAAGTAAAAACGCTCGATACAGGGCACCTCTCTAGGCTTAGAACATTGATACTTGACTGTATAGTGAGGACTGAATACATCCGCCTCTCTGCCTGTCTACTCTACATTGGGCCAGACTGCTGCGGCGATTGGCGTAAAGGCACCGCATCGAAATGATCATCCTTCACGCTATACTGTGAACGTCTGTCACTCAACTGCCATAAACAGGTGCTGATTCGTGTGCGTAAGTATAGCAGGCCTCACTGAACTTTCTCGCCCATTTTCCGGCACACTTGATTCAATAGTTATTTGGTATACTTTTTATAGTTATATACCTGGACCTTCCACGAGGTACTTTGGAGAAGAGGCTCAAAATTCAGTCGTTTGCCATCAAAAATGCCGTGTCATTTCTTTAAAACTCTCTCTCTCTCTCCGCCATGACTCGTGCTGTTTCACCGTTAAAAGCCGTGAAACTTGCCCGGAAATGGTCCGGTAAGGCCCCCTTGACCTACACCGGAAAGACCTACTGGTAGCATTAAAAACACTGCGGCAATGCAAAAAATAATAAATGGAAAACACATATTATTGAAAAGGCAAACAGAGATAGGCTAAGAAAACCCTTGCAATCCCTTGCATTCTTTGACACACTCTACACACTACGTAAAGAAATTGTAACCACCCATGAGAGCATCTCTTTGCCAGTTTCTCTCCTCCCGCCGACCTGGTGCAGTGCGGCGGACCAGGCAGCTTCGTGGAAAAAACGGCCGCAGTAGAACCTCTTGGACTGTCACTCTCTCTCTCTCTCTCTCAACGGGGCGCTAAAAGAGCAAAGACTTTAGGGGCGACTGAAATGAGAATACTGCACTGTACATACTGCAAACTATAACTATATAAGACCACACGTGTGGGAAAGGTGAGTTGCAAAGCATCTCATGATGTTATGGCAAGAAGTGCCATGGCCGACGGCCGATGGCCATGAGACGATTTGCAAGCGGGAGGGACTTCACATAGACGTCGTGTCAACTGGAGAATGACTTATCATAGAAGACAATCCAATTATATAACCATAACAATCATTAAATTAAAACAACTACAGTACAGGTTGAAAAGTCTGTAAAAAACATGGGAAACTATCTGAGAGTTGGAACTGGGGCTTAGCTCGCATTTCATGTTTTCCCAGCTTGCAAGACCTACTTCTGGGCAGCATGTAGTCTGGATTGCTCCCACTAAGGTGTTCGGGCTCCCGGCTGGACAAAAGCTGAGAGTGCCAAGACATACCTTGGGTGAACTCGGGTCAATCACCTTGAAGCACTACATAGCATTGGAGTTCCCCAGCCAATATGTGCCAACTTTAATGTCTGAACGATACAATTTAACTTGAGTCAATGCGCAAACAAACACATCTTGCTCTTCGAGCCGCAGAAAGGCCCTGGGAACTCCGTCAACCTCTTCCTCCCATGCATCTGGTAAGAAACCTTCGGCCAAAAGGATGATCCTCAGGAAATGCAACGGTGCAGGAAATGCTCAGCTGTCACGCTGACCTAGACTGATCGAAACCTGGCAGTGTCAGGAATACGAGTGAAGCACAAGCGGCCGGCCATCCGAGAATGTACTGCTTTCAATCTGCGGGCTTTTGGCGAGTCTCATGATTGTAGGTGGAAGCGACAAGAGCAGCATTTGCCGCATCCTTGGGCAGGCTTGTGAATCACAAATAAAGCACCAGACTGGAAATTATCTAGAATGCTGTAATTATGGGCCATGATCGACGTCCTAAAACAGCGCTTTCCCCATGGTTGCATACGCTCACGTCTCAACATTCATCACCACTGATCACCGCCAATTGGCCAAAAAGAAACGCTGTTTTCGTTTTATCTCACCAGTCTGTGGCACCCCTCAGAAGCTGTAAGATCCAGCAGGCATACTAGTACGCCTGCTCGCAACATCTCACCACGACATACTGTTATTTCAACAAGCTTGGAGACCTTCCGTTTTTGAGTAGTTCCAACACGCCTGCCTGCTTACTAAAACAAGAATAGAAAGCAGCGCGAGTTGCCTTGCGAGTTCATGTCTTGTGACTTGCTCGTGTGGAGCAAGTAACGAAGATTTCGGATATTGTCAACCAGGCATCAGTGCCAGTGTGGCGACCGATGGATCTTCCAGTGTCTTCTCTTGATATTGACAGACCTCACAAATTCGGAGGGGCTCACGGCTCAACAAGCAGCCCCCATCGCTGTAGAAGGTGGGCTGCATGGTGCAAGGGGGACAGTCTGAACTCTGATTTTGGGACACACTCCTTGAAGTAGTCATGGAGTCATGGAAGTGGATGGCATAGGCAGACCGCGTGTCTCTACAAACAGGTGGATGGATGATTTCCATGTTAATGACTCGGAGAATTGTGATATCAAGTTTTCTTGCGCGTGACAAGCCCTCCTTTAAACTCAAGGATGGGCTCAGGAGAGCTGGGCACGATGAGCACTCTGAGGTCTCACTCAACGGTCCATGGACCCCAGATCGAGACGATGGCAGATTCAATTGCATTCAACGAACATCATCTTGTGGGGCAGCAAGTCAGCAACCATGTGCACTCTTGTACACTCCTTTCACGCATGTACCTCATGAATCCTCATGATTCCTCGTGCAGAGGTATAAGCCCAATTTTTGCTCAGCACCCCCAACAACCCCCCAACAAAAACCATGAGACAGTTAAGCATGTTAATCATGTGCCTTCACAAGCTTGATTAACATGAGGAAGGGATTTAAGCATGTTAATCATCAACCTATCCCAATTCCCTTTTGCCCAAATCACTTCCTCCAACTTCTCCAGCAAGTGCCGTGCACCCACCTCATGGGACTGTGTGCGACATCAGCGCGAATGAGATGCAGCGCCAGCTTCTTCAGTGCCTTGTTGGGCTCCCTGGATGATATCGAAAGGCATCGTTGAGCTCCCAGGCATACGGGTAACACATCTTAAGACTTAAAACCAAAAAAACACACGCGTCTCGACCTTCGCGGCAAACATCATTACAGAATATGGATGAAATATGGAACATCTCCATGAAAAAAGAACCACATGACGTGGCCCCAATTCGATGTCTGGCATTTCCCCCCAAGCCTTCACGGGGTCGTACAGCACTCGCGCCTCGAGCCGGCGCCAGCACCGATGTCTCGACGCGGCACTCGACCGTCGGCGTTCGCCGAAGACGGCGATGGGGGGAGGCCGATCTGGGGACAGTGCCGATTCTGAAACATCCAAGTGAAACGAGCCAAATGGCGGCAATGGCACACATTTCTTTCGCATACCCGCAAGTCTCGTGGATCAGGGTGACAAAATACCCACAGCCCGTGAGCATACAAGTGAGTGCCAAATGTGGGCTATTTTTGTCAAAGGGTCTATGGCCGATGGCCGTATTTGCTCATTTAAATGCCGAAGAAAACAAACAAACAAACAAACAAAAAACTTGCCGAACCCATTCGGCTAACTGGGCATTCCAGCATATACATCCATATACGATATATAAGCCCCTCCGAAGCAGGGTGCTTCTACTGGGAAATCTGAGCATCTTGCGGATGTGTTGTCCTTGTGCACCACCACCCCACGAACCTCGGCGTTCAGGCTGACGGCCAAAAGTGCATTCGTATGGCTCTTTTTCTAAGGAGGCCCCAAAAATACGCCGCATGGCCACAGTTGTCCACTCTCCCTATCGACGGTCATGATCTCCAACTGAGGGTTCTGCCCCCCCGGGCACTGCTTCCAAGTCGCACCATAAACGGATGTTGCAGCCTGCACAGGCAGTTTCGGTCATCGGTGTTCCGGACAGGCCGACCGAGACCTGAAAAAGCATTTACAAGACAAAACATATTATAGAAAAGGTCAAAAGGTTTGTCTACTAGAGGAACAGCAACTGAAAAACTAATTGTTTGGAGTACCCCAACAATATTACATGCACGATATGTGCGCAATATGCGTACAATGTATACGCACCGATAGTGCCATACAATACGACCAGCTCCAAAGCCTCAGCACTGACTGTTCAAGTCACAGCCGCGAAGCTGCCAGCCTTGCGGAGTTCTGTGACAGTCTGCTTCATCTGCCTCGACTGGTGCGGTGGCACAGGAAATCGTCGGCGCGGCAACAACCCAAGTGGATTGAACGGACTGTCGCATAGTTATCAAGATCATGGTCCGTATGCGTCCGGAGTCCTTCAACAAGTGTTCCTTGTTTTCTGGAGCCCTGGAGGCTCATGTAGCATGGGAGGACTCTTGTTGCACTCAAAAAGATTGCTGGAAGTGCCAACCCGCTACAGAATGCATGAATTGATTCAAGGGAATCCCTGCTTCCAAATTCTCTGGCCAACGTGAGACAAAGAGCGCCATGGCATGTGTTATTTGAGGTTACTGTATTTGTGTGTTCTGATTCTGATGTTTTTTCTTCAGGCACATGCACCAACTCGCCCAGGCTTCTACGCTTCTTTGCTCAGCTCTTCCGAGGCACACCGGCAGCTCGGAGGGTCGATCCGTGCGCGACGCGCGCACGTGGACCTCGCGCGAGGGAGGATGCGCAGCTCGGTAGCTCGTTGAGGGATGCCTTTGGGGTGGGTTTTGGGGGGCGGAGGCTGGGGCGGAGGCTGTCCTAGCATAGAAGACCAGTGAACTGCCAGACTGCCAGCCAAAACTCGGCAAGTCTACTCGAGTCTACTTAGGGTTACTGTACACGGTTAATGTATTATTAAGTGTGATCACTCAATGTATGACGTGTCCCTACTCCTTACACACCTTCATCTTCGCACCCGAGCGGCGTGATGCTAAAAACGCCCTGCCTCATCCAAGGCGAGTGCTTCAAAGCCAACATCTTCGATCGCCTCAACCTGGGTGGCAGCTGAAACGCTTCAGACTGCTTCAGTGGGACAGC